TGTCATTTGAACGGCGATTGCGTTAGATTTCTGCAATAAGTTGGGTTGATTTGACTGAAAACATTCTCGCAAATGAATTGTGTATGCGGCCGACATTTTGTCTCAGGAAGAGCAGCGAAAAGTTGGGACAAATACAATGTTGACTGGCTGCCGACTTTAAACTTGGGCCATAAAAAGAACGTGGAGAAACGAAATATAGAACAAGTTTCACAAAGAGGACAGAGAGCTAATGATAAAGAAAAGAAATGAAAGGAGTATGAAGAGAGGGAACACAAGCTTGCAGAGGAAATCGCAGCAAAGAAGCTTTGATTAAATGAAGCGGGTGAACAGGTATCAGATATTTCCTTTGCCAAAGAACTTCCAAAGTATGTTGATTCTAGTACACAAACAGAGGAGTTTGACAATTTAGTAGCTGCTGTGCCACCACAGTGACCATTTTGTGAGGAAGAATTTTGCAATGATGACAAGAGGGTAAAGTTTTACACCGGATTACCTTCGCTTGACACGTTAAAAGTTATTTTTCTTCGCATTGTTCCCTTTGTTACTCGTAAGCCCCAACATTTGACTCCCTTTCAAGAATTTGTAATGATTTTGATGAAGCTAAGACTTAATATGCCTTTGGAAGATCTCTCCTACCGATGTAATGTGTCGGTTTCTACTGTGTCAAGAACATTTCAGGCGTGGATGATTGTGATGGATGTAAGGCTGAAGCCCTTTATTAAGTGGCCAGAACATGAAGAACTCTGGCGTACCATGCCTCAATGTTTTCAATACTCATTTGGCAAAAAGACTAAGGTAATTATCGATTGCTTTGAAGTGTTTATCGACCGACCGTCGAACCTACTGGCACAAGCAAAGACCTTCTCAAACTACAAGCACCACAACACTGTGAAGGTCTTGATAGGTATTACTCCACAGGCAACTATTTCATTTATCTCAAAAGCCTGGGGAGGGAGAACTTCCGATAAGTTCTTAACAGACAATTGTGGCATACTAGACAAGCTACTACCTGGTGACCTTGTTCTGGTAGATCGGGGGTTTACCATACAAGAATCCCTTATGTTTAAGCAGGCTCAGTTGGCAATTCCTGCCTTCACACGTGGTAAAGACCAACTAGACCCAGTGGATATCGAGGCAACCAGGGGCATCGCTAATGTGCCTATCCATGTGGAGCGGGTCATTGGTCTCCTTCAACGGAAGTATACTATTTTAAGTGGAACCCTTCCAATTGATTTTCTGATGTGCGACCCTAATGGATCACAAGAAGAATCAACTCCTATGATTGACCGAATAATAAGTGTATGCTCTGCTTTGG